ATATATAAAATATTCTACGTAATTAAAATGTAAATATTATGGACATAGATTAGAAACAGGTAGAATTTATATATTAGAGTAATATTTCTAATCAAAATGCTATTATTATAAATCTAATCTAAACTACAATATTTAAATATTTCATTATACATCCTTAATAATATAATAAAGAACAATAAGTAAATAATCCAAAAAATATGAAGATCAACCTAAATGTTCTTCCTTAAATTCCAAGCACTAAAAAGTCAGATCATATTAATTTTTACCCTTTAAAAGTTCCATTCAATTTTCTTGTAATCGTGTCCAAGTAAAACACAACTTCTAAGTAAAAAAAAATATTTCGGTAGAAATAATCTCCGTATTCGAATATGAAAAACATATAATATAATATACCTAGCTTGTCAGGATGAAGAAGGGGTATATTGGTAATTATACCTTGGGCCATGCAAGCAGTTTCCATGCAATGTAGACCCGGAAGACCAAGAGCGACACGTGGCTCATCTTTGACGTCGACGACGATACTCTCCGGCGATATTTGGCCGTAAAACATCGCCTGGGAACACCGGAGATGTAAAAACCGAAGAGCTTTGGCAACTCCGACGATGACTTTCTTCCTCCCCTCCCAACTTAGACCGTGCAAAATCTCACTCAATCGATTCCCTTCGACGTGTTCGTACACCAAGTACGCGACTTTCTCCGTCCGACATGTCCCGAGCAACCTCAGAATGTTCCTGTGACGGCAAATCTTTCCGATTTCCGAGATTTCGGGCGAAAGATCTCGGTTCTTGACCTCTTTTACCACGAACTCCATGCCCTTTCCGTCCGATCTACCCTTGTATAAGACACCCTTTTTCCCGATCGAGATAACATTTTGATCCTTCACCGATGATAAAACCGATTCGATCGTAAATGATTTTGCGAAAATCGAATCGAATAGTTGAATCTCCCATGTGTTGCCGTCTTCTTCAACTCTCGTGACCTTGAAAGTGCTCGTTGTCTTCTTGAGAACGAGAGTGATCAAGAAAAGGGAAGTAAGAACGAACAAAACTACAGCGAGGGTCGAAGAAACGATGAACCACCAACTCTTCGTAGCTTTCTTTCTGACGACACTCTTACACAGAGGCAAACCGCTCGTGTTTTCGGTATCGTTGTCACTGCTGATGCAGAGATCGTTCCCAGCTATTGATGTTGCGTTTATGGCAAGAAAAGCTCCGGTCGACGGTAAACTACCGTGAAGTAGATTGTGAGAGACGTTCACTTGAACAAGTGACTCCACTTTTCCCAAATCTTTCGGTATCTCGCCTGATAATTGGTTACAGGACAGATCAAGATCGCCAAGAACACGGAACTCAGAGAAGCTTGAAGGGATTTGTCCTGTAAGAAAGTTGTGGCTCAAGTCGAGACTCACAAGTTTCTTGCAAGAAGACAATTCGCCTGGTATTTCACCGCTGATCTCATTCTCACTCAAATCGAAATCCATCAGCTCGGAGAATCTTCCGAATCCTCTTGGAATCTTTCCAGTGAATCTATTCCCGGAAAGTTCCAATTTTTGGAGCATTTTGCTTGCGGAAAGATCCGGCAAGACGCCGGAGAAGTGGTTGTGTCCGAGGTTTAACATCTGAAGCAGTGGCATGTCCCATGCCCGAGCACCGATGTTGCCTTCGAGTTGGTTGTTAGATAAGTCCAAGAAGTAAACGAGGGGTGACTCAGTGAAACCGCGTGGTAAGTCACCGGTGAAACGATTGTTCTGAAGCCTCACGCGCTCCAAGCTCTTGCACGCGCCTAAGCTGGGAGGAATTTGGCCTTCAAGAGAGTTGGAAAAGAGGATGAGCTTGTCGAGTTGACCTGAGTCGCAGAGGCTGTCGGGGACTTTTCCGGTAAGATTGTTGGTGGAAAGATCCAAGACTGTGAGATTGTTCTGTTTCCCAAGATTCGCCGGAATCTCTCCGGAGAATCTATTCGACCAGACCTGAAGAACTTGAAGACGTGGTAAAGAAGTTATCCCCTCCGGTATCTTGCCAGTGAGGTTATTAGAAAAGAGATGAAGAATCTCCAAGCTTTGCAACTGCTTCACTGACTCGGGAATCTCCCCTGAGAGAAAATTATCACTTAGATCGAGCGAGACAAGCTTCGTTAGTCCAAAGATTGATGCCGGAATCCGATCCGAGAGCTTGTTTTGATAGAGGAAAAGGTACTGAAGCTCACGCAAGTTCCCGAGTGAAGACGGTATCTCTCCGGTAAGATTATTGTAGACAAGATCAAGGTGGTTCAAAGAGGGCAAATCTCCGATTTCTATGGGGATTCCGCCGGAGAGATTGTTGTATCCCAAATATATCCATCTCAAGCGCTTCATTTGGCCAAACTCCACAGGTAATTCACCGGTTAATTGGTTTGATGCCAACGTCAAGAACTCCAACCTCGTGAGGTTACCGATTGAGGCCGGTACAGGACCGGTTAAGATGTTTCCACCAAGATCAAGAACTTCAAGATCGGAGAAAGAACCGATATCTTCAAAGATTCGCCCCGACAGCATATTGTTCGAGAGATCTAACGTGTGGAGACCGGAGACAAAACCCTTAGGAACCGAACCCGTGAAGTTATTGTTGCTGAGGTTGAGGTAACGAAGAGAAGGAGAGGAAGTATAGAAGATATCGTGAGGGATAGGACCCGACAACTTGTTGTTGGAGAGGTTGATGGTTTGGACAAAGGGTAACCGGAAAACATCCGACGACAAGATCTGTCCGGAGATGTTTTTGCCGGAAAGGTCGAGAGAGATGACACGGGACGATGACACGTCACAAACGACGCCGTTCCATTTACACACGTCGGCCGTTAACTCGGGATTAGAAGAAGAGGACCAAGAAGAGAGGAATTGAAGAGGGTCGTTGAGTGATGATTTGAAGGATAAGAGAATATCGAGTTCATTTGCACGAAGACAAGGCAAGTTGAGAGACAGGAAGAAGAAGAAGAAGAAGGGTTTGAGACACATTTGGTTTGGTGATGAAGAGTGGTTTATTTCCACCATTTTTTTTTTGTGTGTGTGTGTTTCTCCTTGTGATTTTGCTTCTTTCGTTTCTTCTTCTATAGCTTGAGCTTTGGACTTGGAACCCTAGCTGTAAAAGAGAATAAATATATAAAAACAAAAAAGAAAAAGGAAGACAAATGATGTTCTTGATTAGAGAATTTGGAATAATCTTGCTTGTCGTATTATAACTTTTCATTTTCTTTTTTTTTTTTGTAATAATCTAAGAGGGAAAGTCCATATGCATTATACTTTGTACTCGAGTAAAAAAAGGGATAAAAGTTGCCAAGCACATTCACAACTCAATTTAAAGCTCGTCTTAAATTCGATATATATATATATATATATATATATATATATATCAACTAAACCCATAATTGGGTAGCTAGGACAAGAATTTAAAAATCTAACAAATATCATTTTTAGGGTTCTTGAAAAATCCATGTTTGTGAAGTTTTACATGAATAAATACACGATAGATATTTCAGCTCATTTTTTTTTTACAAAGTCGGTTCATATACACGTTTATAAATAATGGACAAACAATTTGAAAGAGTCGTATATAAAATGATTCAGTGTAACAAAATAACTTACCTAGATATCATCGAAGACCTCGCAAACAAGAGACTTAAGTTAAGACATCATCGCATTTTTTTTTTTTTTTTTTTTTTTGGTTTGCTCAATGAGTAATAATAGAGTGAGAGAAAAACATTTGGAGGGTTATAAATAGGAAAATATGGTGGCAAGGGAAGGGAGGACCATGAGAAGAGCTTCAAAAGTAGCCATGGAGTTGGGGTTTAATAACGAAAACGCCACTGGGACTCTTGAACTTCTTACAGGTTTGCAACACGAACGGATGAGACTGGTGTGGGGTGTGCCGTCAAAAAAGCTCTCTGCATTATTAGCAAGCAGCTTATTAAATTAAATTTTAAATAAGAAAAAAAGATACATATTTTTTTACCAGAGAATATAACTTTTCAATTTCCTAATGAAAGATTTTTCTGAAACAGTTGGAAAGATCTATAGTTTTTCTTGTATCCTCCTAATTCCATGTATAATAGATGTGGTCGAAAGATAAGACTTTTTTTTTTTGTTTTTTTTTTTAAATTTATAAAATTATTTTACAATTTTTTTTAACGAAATTTGAATTTAAATATTCGAATAATTTTTTAGATATTCGAATTTGGAATGTTCAAGCTGATAGAATAAAATCAAATTTTAAATTCTAATACCTGGAGATGTGGATTCCACACTCGATATTCGACCGACCTTAAGAGGGGATTATTCCACTATTTTTCCTTTATGCTAATTATTTTTTGTGTGGTTTTTACGTTGACATGGATATTGTTTAGTCATTATGATCCCACATGTTTAGTTCCATAAATTCTTAAATTGGAAAATGGAATTTGCATTATACTTTTGTGGGTACGAGATACTAGTGATGAAAACGAATTATAAACCAAGTAATTCTTTATTTTTAATTTTATGTGGGCCTGAATATGCTTTGTTTTTGTTTTAGAAATTTATTTACTATTTAGTGTTTATGGTGGTCTAATCCGAATGATTAAATCATAAAGGGGGATAATAGTAATACCTTTTAAATAGATTCTTTAAAAACATTTTTACTCATCGATCATGTTTGAAAAAAAAATCACATGTTTTTTGTTAATTATGTTAATCATATTATTTCACAACGCCTAATTCATAATGTTTTTAATTAACCATAAGATTAACTATCTTGGCTTCATTCAGATAATTAATTAAGGGAATAATTAATTTTGTTTCCACAAATACATGGGTGAGAAGAGAGGAACACCTCATAATTATATTGTAAAATTACAATGATGAAAATAAAATTTCTAGTATTTGTTAGATAAAATTAATTAAGCGATAGTGAAGGGAAAACAGATGATTATGACAACTGATTTAGCCACATGCAAAAAAAAATGCCATCATCATCATCATCATCATCATCATCATCATGCCACGTCATCTCTGACGTGAAGAGAAATCGGATTCTCTTGGATATTAAAATGTATTTAAAGATAAATTTATGTATAGATCCTTATGAAAGTTAATAGATATTATAAAAATAAATAATAAAAATAGTTTATATCAAATTTTATTTCTCCGTTTTATAATGGTGCGAAGAGATTAAAAAAAAAACACAAATCCTTCAACAAAACATTAATTAGAACAACGATTTTGGGTTCTGTTTCTCAGAAAATGATAGAATTGAAAAAGAGAACCTTAATTTAGTATGTATGATTTTATCTGATATTAAAAGCTTACTAGAGTTATACAGTGTACACCCACCAAACACCCCATAATATACAAAACATATACATACACTTTATCAAGCTTTTATATATATATATATATATATATATATATATATATATAAGTGAATAAGGCAAAAAGGGATGAGAATATGGTGACAGTGAGGTTGGCCTAACCCTACCCCAAAAAAAGATGCAAATGAAAAAACAAAATTCCAAAAAAAGAAGAAGGAAGACAAAAAGAATAAACAAACGAAATGTGAAAGCATGGCAATGACCACAAGAGAAAGGTTTCTTGTCTCTTTTAGTCTTATCTTTGAAATAAATATTCGTACAATTATATTTTGTTTTCATTTTCTACTGACGAGAGAATGAGAATGTACATTACTTTCTTTTTCATGGTGTGTATATATATATATATATATATATGTGTGTGTGTGTGTGTGAATTAGTTGAACAATTTGTCAAAATTATTATTCTTGCGAATGAAATGATTGTAATAAAATCTTCTACACATATTCTTATTCAAGTCGATGAGCAATTCAATAATTGTGGTGTGAGACCTTTACATAGATATAAATATAAGTCATATATATAATAAAAAATGAATATTCCACGTACTTTTCATTTAGGCCTACATTTTTTACTTTGTGGCCAACTTTTCGAAAACGCTTCGTGTAAACAATGCTCTACACAAGGACACACGCATGGCATCTACCCTCTCATTGGGGCTATTTAATTTCTTTTTTCAAGAACTCTAACGCCCTAAACCTATGTTTGTTTATTTGTAATACCTAAGAACCTTTGTTACACGCTTTTATATATATATATATGTATATTTAATTAATTGTAGATTGTGCGTGATTAATTATAAATATATCAAGAAAAGAGAGAGATTGCTTTTGCTCTAACATTTTTATTGTAGATTTCTGCATTATATAAGTATTGATTCGAAAATTAAAAGCCGTCTGACCTTATATGGGTTGTCACATATGAATTTATAGGAGAGTATTCGAAATTATAGATCATTTACGTTTTAAATATCCCGTGTATATATGATTCTTGATACAAACACATATATATGATTCCAACCGATTAAATTGTATCTTGCGTGGAATTTGGAGCGCTTGTGTGACAGCCCAGGATACCGTAGGAGGCCGGGGAGTGATCGCCGGTGCGAGAGGCATGGACAAGGGGCGGCTCCTGACGAGCTTCTGGTAGGGGGTACATGGATGAATCAGACGCACCAGAATGAGAGGGATCCGAGGGCTGTGTAGGTATGAGACTACACAGTCTAAGATAACTTAAAGGAATTAATTGAGCCTCTCATAGCAACAAGATGCATCTCCCTTTTCGGTTGTCCATCTCGAGAGAACTCCAAAGTTAAGCGTGTTGGCCTTGGAGTAGTCTTAGGATGGGTGACCTCCTGGGAAATACTTTCCGGGATGTGTACGAGTGAGGACAAAACACACTAAAAGGTTCCGTATTGGTGTGTGAGGACAACTCTATCATTCCATAGCGGCCTCGGGTCGTTATAGCTTGTCCACAAGAAAGTGTTGTACAATCTTTCTTGTAACGAAGACAAATGGTTGGTTCGGGAAGAAAAAAAAATTGTTAACCAAAGCTATATTAAAATTTGTAATGGAATCCGAACTTAGATAATTTAATCGGTGAAATGATATATATACAAAGTATCTGTCCCATCTCGAATTCGAATTTTAATATATTACAAATAACATAACTAACCTCTGACTCTAAGATTAATCTGGATCTTGGTTTAAAATAATCTGTTTCCGAAAAAAAATTGTAATGGACACAACGTATCGTATGAGATAAAAACTTTCTTTTTCTAACGTGAGTAAGGGGGTTTAAAAAAATAATATTTCTGAAACTCAACAATATCCCGAAATAAAATAATTTAGGGTTTAAACATCGAAATATTCTAAGGATATTCAAAATCTTACACTATATTTGAATAATACCTACTTGAGATATGGATTCTCGTTATCTATTTGATGAAATGCTAATATCGTCGGGTTGCTTGGACCAATTAGGTGTGTCGAAGATATTGTATTTTTCATGTTAAATATACTGATATTATACTTTTGTTGCGCGTGTGTGTGTATATATATATTCCACCATGCGCGAAACCTGACAGTAATAATTTTAAAAATGTAATGGAAATGTTCTCATACTCCATTATCTATAAACAAACAGATAATGGATACGTTATATATTAGTAAACAATAGCGTGCCTATACATATGCAACAATACCAAGAAAAAAAAATGATTCTACAATTTATTATTAATTTATAATTATTATCAAAAAAAAATATCCTATGACTTTCGTCACCTGAGTCCTGATGCCTAATTTTGTCGATATATTTAAAATTATTGAAAAATAAAATGCGGAAATTAAAAAGAGAAAATAACTATAAAATAATTAAAGAAAGAAATTTACAAAGAAATAATATATGATGGAAACAAATAAATTAAGAGATAATTGATACAATTATCATTATTTGTTAATTGATTTTGTGTCTTTAATTTCTTTCAATCATCCTCATAATCATTTCCAATCAATTTCAATCTTCTTAAATATATATTTGTTTCCTCGTTTCAATATTCCCTCTCAAGATTGACTTAGAGATAATACAAAAAGTCAATCTTGGAAAGAATACCTGAAATAATTCAAAAACTCGATGAGTAATCCATTGTTAATAAAATGATCCATAGATACCAATCAAGTTCTTGAGAGTTTTGATCCATCTTCAAATCAGTTCGCTTGATCATGAAATTCTGTCTTTATCTCCTTTTGTCATAGCACTTCGCTTGATCTTGGAGCTTTTTGTGGTTTTGATTCCTTTTGTCATAGCACCTCGTTTGATTCTGGATTTTGCTTCACTTCAAACCACTTGGATATATGAATATTAAGAACTCAAAAATAAAGAGAGTAGAAAATAAAAACTAAAATAATATATAGATTAGATCGTAACGCTGCTCTGATACCATATTGAAAAATAAAATCCGGAAATTAAAAAGAGAGAATAGAAGAGAAAAATAAAATAAAGAACACTTTTATTACTACATCTCTTCTTCTTGTTATTTTACAATGAGAATAACTCATCTATTTATAAGAAACAACTATAAAATAATTAAAGAAAGAAATTTATAAAGAAATAATATATGATGGAAACAAATAAATTAAGGACACAATTATCATTATTTGTTAATTGATTTTGTGTCTTTAATTTCTCTCAATCATCCTCATAATCATTTCCAATCAATTTCAATCTTCTTAAATATATATTTGTTTCCTCATTTCAACAGAAATCAATACACAAAACACACACACACAAGCACACACATATATATATACATATTCTCGTAAATACAAAAAAGAAAATGAAAAAATAAAAGAAAAAAATTGTTAAATATGGCAAGTGAACTAGAAAATAATAATTCTGGTTCATTTTCGTGTTGGTGTTGTTAGGGATGCAATGCATATAAAATAAAATAATTTAAAAAAGCGAAGGTCCTACAAATTAAAAAAAGAATAAAATTTTCTCGAAGGGAGAGAGAAAGAGAGTGGTCGTTGTCTTGAAACGGGCATGCTTTTGCTTTGCTTTGCTTACATCCATTTTCTAGGGTTTTGCACTCCCCACTTTCTTCCTCACCCCCAAAACTCTTCCTTGTTTGTGTGTTTTCATGTAATAATAATTTTTTACTTGATTTCTTCCTCTTTAAACTATATATATATATATATATAAAGTTATGGCATATATATATATATAGAGAGAGAGAGGTGTCCCTTGGCATCTATAATTCTTGTAGAATAGTCTTTGTGATAATTAATCGAGCTAAAAGTTTAACATTTAATTTATTGAATTTACAAATTTTGTTTCGTTAATTAAGTGATTTAAAAATTGAGTGTTTTCTTGGAAACACAATTAACTCTTCACCATTCAAACCCTTTATATAAAACTCTTGACTTTTCCAAGTAAAACTGAACAAATGGAATTAATTTATTTTCTGAAAACCAATTGAACATTTTTTTAATCATAGTCACAGCCAAATGGTTCGAAAAGACAATCTTATAACATCTATACTAAGAGTGATTTTGTAAATTATAAAGAAAATAACAAATTTTTTTTAAAAAGGTAATAATATATGGAGTTTACAAACTCTCCAATCACGTCAGCAAAGAGTGGAAAAAGCATTTTCACAGTGAACTCGATTTTCAATTCTTTAAATCGTAAGCTCTTTTTGTAAATGAAAATAACCTAAGAAAAACTACTTTACTTTTATGTTTCTCATATTGTCGGGGAACAATATCTCTGACTTGCATACATACATATATATATATATATATATATGATCTATTCGATTTCATTTTAAATATATACAAACTCGGTCTTATTTTATTCAACCAAGATTCGAGTCTTTTATATGAAGAAGTCTATTTACATGAATTTCTCCTATCTTCTGAAAAATATAGTCGTATTGAAGGTCTGATTTGGGGGTTATAAAAAAACTCGTCTTATTTTTTGAACGGTTGAGTGATTCACGTAGCTTGTGATGCCGTTTAGAAAACGAACATATCATTCAACATATATGTTTATTTTCCTCGTTATACTAAATTTAAAATAAGACGGTCCGTTTTAAAAAAAACGAGGATAAAAAACACATGAAACATTTATGATAATTAATTAATTAATTAATTAATTGGGAAAAATTAAAGATGAAATTAGTATTATCCCCTTAATGAGGTACAAATGACGTAAGGCCGACCCGTTTCCGTTGGAGGAGGTGTCTCCATCTTCTTTCAGACAATGTAGGCCTGATCGAGTTGTAATTGACGAATTAATATTCCAAAAGAATCGCACTACATATCATTACATTTAAGATTTTTATTTTATTTTATTAAGAGTTATATTTATCATAAAATTACGAATTCTACTCAAAAACTAAAAAAGCTACGTTCTTTATTAAATAAAATGGAAGAAAATCTTAATTAATAAGACACTGGTCTGAGAGAAAGACACCATATCTACTCGCACTTTCTTCCCTCTTAGGCTCTTATGTTTCCTTGTTCTTGTTTTTGGTCTTAAAGCTCTTTGCTTTTTAACCGTATTGTGATCTACAAATGTCGGGCTTGAATGGTCCACTAAGATTTTGACATGTTACCTTTGGCACATAAAAAAACGTAATAATGGTTTTTTTAAAAAATATTTTCAAGTAGCTATAATAGAAAGGGTGAAAATCGGGTCGGCTCCATCCAAACCCGCATTTGGTTTGAAGGTTTCGGATTCGGGTTCAGGTCGACCCAATTTTTTTCGAACCTATATAACCAAACATAAAACTCGACCCTATAAATTTTAGACCGAACCGCTAAAATCTTTTGTAATTATATATGTTTTTTTTTCAATTAATTTAAAAAAAATATCGAACTTTTTGATTGGTTCGAATCGAGTCCGAAGTTTGAATTGAATTCGATCTGAAAGTCCGATTTTTTTGAACCGAAAAACTTCGGGCCGAAGCCCGACAATTTCCGGATAAACTTGGATCAGGCAATTCGGGGCTCGGACCTAAAATGATACCCTTAATAGAAACCATATAAATTTATTAAACGAACATTTAAATATCAAGAAATACACATAACCTTTAATGCAAATGGTTTATCCATTTGAATATAAAGGCTATGAACATGATGATGATCACAAAACACGAGATGAGTATGAAACCTATTTGCATAGGAATTTAGATTAGATTAGATTAGATTGGTCCGATCTCAAAGTTGTCTTGTCCCCATCATCAGGACCAATTCAAGATCCAATATCCACTTTTATATAGCGTAAGCCCATTTCGGTTTCTACATATCTTAATTAGCCCATTTTCTTCGAAGTCACGGGTTGACACATAATTTTCTCAAATTGAACTCCCCGATATTAGTTTGGATTCTAGGTTTTTTTTTTAAAATTATTAGAGATATATAGAAATATCTCTAATATCTTTGGAATATATTACAATTTTATATTAATTTCGTAGAAAAGTAACATATCCGAATTCTATTAGAAACTACGAAACTAAAATATATATAATATGTCCCGATAATTGTATATATGTTTAATATATTTTTTTTTTTCAGGTTCGTATCCATTTTGGATTTATTTTTTTCATTCGGCCCTCAATGTGAACCGGCGAAATCAGCAGCACGGTGAGGCGAAGGAGACTTTTAGAGATGGGAAGCTCCCTCGAAACCCTAGATTCTAAGCGTTTATTTTTAAAATTGCAATTAAACCCTTCAATTTATTACGAATACGATTTTATCATTTTTTTATAACAACTTAACCCATAATGACAAATCATAAATATAAATTAAAGGGGCAAATCCAAAAAAAATCCCAAAATTATAACTCACTAAATTAAATCTCCAATTTAAAATTATTTATTTAAAAGAAACTCTCATAAAAAAATGACCATGGATAAACGAAAACAAATACATAGCATTATTCTTTTACCTTGCAGAAATTAAAGAAATTAAACGAGACACGTCTTTTACACAAACTAATTGTGGATTCGTGGATCATAGCTACTACTTCGAGCAATCTTCAAACCCCTACTACCATTCGGCTTTCGATTTTGGCTGCTCCGTTTCGCTACATCTCTCATCGAATACGCGAAATAGAGCTTAGGGTTTAGTCTCGTCGTGGAATTGAACCTCTCGCAAAACCCTCTGTGCCACTCTAAGGCTTCCATCACTGATCCGGCTGCCGGGAATTGTTTTCCTAGTTTCTCCGTGATTACTTCGGCACAAAGGCCGCAGACCCATTTGCCCGAATACGAGTTCTTGATTCTGTCTATGTATTGAGGGGTGCACTCTTCTTCTAACCCGCAACAATCACAGTTCACTTGCTTCACTTCTTCTTCTTCTTCTTCGACTTTGTCGTTAATGTGTCGTTTTATCTCGGAGGAAACATCGGAGAATGACTTTTGAAGCCCTACTTCGTTCTGTTTCAATATATGAAAAAATGAAAATGCATACTCAATTAATTTCAAGTAAAAATGCTCATCAGCTAGAGTTGTCCGTAATAAGGTCTTTGAACCTTGTGTTCATCTGAAATCCAAGAAACACAGAAGACAATAGGAAAAATAGCATACCATTGTCGATCCTCAGTGTTAGAATATCAGCTCTTCTACTCGGCCTCGCCACTCAAGATATTTCTTGTTAGTTAGGTCTTTGATTTCATATAGTTATGTTTTGGTATATACATACACACCCGGATCTCCTATTTATACATGGAGCGTCTACGTATGAGTACGTGCGTGCATGCATGCACTTGTTTAATTCGATCATGACTCGTAGGGGGTGGGAATCATGTTCAAGAAAGTGCACTTTACAGTAGTGATGACATTTCTTTTCAAAGACACGAGAAGAGTTTGCCTTTTTTTTTTTTCCTTTTCGTAATCAATCGTCTCTTCCCTAGAGAGAAAATATCTCTATAGTTATGTTGGTATCTACTATTCAATTGGCACCCGGTAAAAGGAGTATATATGATTTCGGATTCTTATTTGATGTCTAATTGTTTAATTGTAGTTATAATTGATTTCGGATTATCATCTTCATCACTAGACCACCCCACATATCAAAGAAAAGTAGGAGCTCGACTCTCCCCACTGCAACCATAATCTACAAATCAAGGATAAAACTCTTTTCCCACACTAATGCAACTATTTATAACTGTTTTTATAAGAACTACCAACCGAGATATAACGAGTTATGATGAGGGTTGGGAGTGTTCGTCGGTGCAGATATCACGGACAACGAGCGGCTCCCCGGATACCATTAAAGCCAAACAGATACACGAATGCATCGGAATGAGAGAAATACGAAGACGGTATAAATATGAGACTATACGGTCTAAGATAACATAAAAAAATTAGTTGGACTACTCATAGAAAAAAGATGCACCTACCTTTACAGTTTTGGATGGATCTTTAGACAAGCAGAAAACTTTATGTACACATATTGAACATGATTTTTAATTTTTTATTTGTCTGGTCATTAAGACAATTAATCTGCTCTTGATATGTGATATATATATCACCTATATCAGCATTGAAATTCATTATATATATATATATATATAATATCACCTATATCAACATTGAAATTCTTTGAAATATTTTTTATACCAAGTTTATAAAACTGTTACCTAACAATAGTTCGAAATTTGCTGTGATAGTATTTTTTTCTTTATTTTTTTTAATAAGCTTCAAATTTTATATTATTTTTGTATTCTTCTTGTTTGGCTTCATTTTATCGCTCATCAAAAACATGTCGTACGACTAGACGTTTAAACCATCATCATCATCATCATCATCATCATCATCATCAATTCATCATTATCATCATAATTTAGACATTTGAAATAAAATGCTATTATACGATATTAATAAAATATGTTTAAACAAAAGAAAAATATTGCATATTCGTTCTTCCGTAAATACTTAAAATCTGAAAAATAAATAAAAAGCAATTACCCAGTGCAATTTAAAACCCCACTTATGTTTATTCATTTTACATGAAAAAGCAAAACCAGAATACATAAAAACAAAGTAAATTAACTAACACATTTATTATTTTTGGCACCTTAAAAGTTGATACAATTTTGGATTTTATTTACGCACTGAGAAAATAATCTTCCATTTTCTTGGTCATATGTTTTAGAGAAAATTCCACGTAGGAATCAAGGTCTTCCTTCTTCCAACCCTCGACGGGATCCGCTACAAACGACCACTCAATCTCACACCCCACACCTTCATCTCCTCCGTCCGTTGGATTGACTTTGACCGTCGCCGCATAAGATCCGAACCCCACGTTGTTCTCGAGGATCTCGTAGCTTATACACCGTCCGATCGGATCGAACTTCACGAGCCGCTCCTTAGCCCATTTGGTCACCGCCGCCGCACCTGATCCGTCGGATTTGGTCTCGGTGGACGCGCAGTAGCGGATCAGACCCACCTGACCGTCAGAACCTTCGACGCGGCGACACGTGTCCAGTCTGGGGAACCACTTGTCGACGTTGCAAAAGTCCGACACGGCGGTCCAGATTTTCTCCGCCGTGACGCCGTTAACTCCAGCGACGTGCTTTCCCTCCCACTTAGACGGCGCCGTTTCGTTCTCCATTACAAGAGAATTTTCTTTTCTCTTTTTCTTTTTCGTTTTGTTTTTCCTCTGTGTGCGTATTCCTCTCTGGCCCATGTTTGTATTTATATTACCTTCGCTACTTTGCTAAATTACGGTTTTGTCCCCCTATCTTCTGCCTTTGAAGATAGAAGGAATCTCTAAGTAAAAGCAAGTTAATTTATTCCCAAAAAAACAAGATTTTTTTGTCTAGATCGAAAATTAATCATTAACGTAATGAAATATTGTAAAAGATGAGTTAAATTTTAGGTTTTCGAAATGGATTTCTGATTATATGAAACATTTAGGATTTCGTAATATATAGCCATTTTATTTTATTTTTTCACCATTAGTAAATCGTCTTTTATATACGGGTTAAATTAAATCGTGTTTTTACCTACACTAGAAGCAAAATACGGAGTTTTAAACTTAATTACATCACAATAATTAACCAAAACATATTTAAGATAATATTTTATTCTACGAAGCATAAAATTTGGGATGAAATGAGGATGGAAACGAAAAGCTTTCATTTTCAGATCTTTATAACAATTAATCACATACAACGGTCTTCTCCATGTTCATGGCGATAATCTCGAGAGCTTTCTCGTACTTGATCACCAGATCATCCATCGACCAACCTTCCACAGGATCAACGGTGAAAAACCAATCAATCACGCAACCCTCTCCGCCACGTGGCGAGATCTTTACCGTTGAGACGTACGACTCGAACCCGATGTTGCTCTCCACTATCTCGTAGCTCAACACCCGGTCAACGTGATCAACGGTCAGGAGCCTCTCCTTTGACCACCCGGCGACTGCGTCTCCGCCGTTGGATTTGATGGAGGAGCCGGAGCAGAATCTAACGCAGCCAGGCTCACCGTTGTTTCCGTGGACTCCGTGACACGTGGCGAGCGAGGGGAGCCACTTGTGGAGGTTGAAGAAATCGGTGAAGAGAGGCCATATTTGATCAGGCTTGGCTTTTGCAAGCGTCGTCGACACCATGGCTTGCCATTTTTCTGGGTTTGAAGCTTTTTTTTCCATTGAAGAATTTTTTTTTTAAAAAAAAAAGAGAAAATGAATTGATGAGGAAATCAGATTTGTTTTTTTGTTACGAATATGTTCACATTCCAACAAAAAAGAAGTGTCGGTTATTGTGAGATTCCATTCCATATCTATATAGACACTTTTTATATGCATTGGGATTTACAACCATACATATAATATATTCCCTTTGGTATTTTACCATTTGGGATGGGACCTCTAATTTTGCATATTTATCCTCATTTATTTGATTTTTTTCCTTATATATATATATATTCTCAATTTGTAAATATTGTATTTTTAGTCTTGTCTGTATCTGACAGGAGATAAACTAAAATATTCGGATCTTGTGATCGCTAAATCTAAATAGGTTTTAATATTAAAATTAGTGGTAGCGAACCAAACGGTTCGATTTATTCGATTACAATTAGTTTGAATCCAGTTATTTCGCATCTTGAAACTTTATAAACAAAATCTTATTTCGGTTCGATCCGGTTATGATTTTTGTTCAGTTCGATCATATGTAATTAGAATTATAATTGAACAACCAATCTAAATTTAGTTTCGTTCAATTCAATTATCATAATAAATGAACCAAAATTTCAGAACAATGATGTATAAAAATGTACAAGGTCTAACTCTAATTGTATGACATATTTACGAAACTGCATGAACAGCTTTATTGTTATTAATCGAGCATACGAGTAGACTGCGATTTGATTTATTCGATTATAGTTAATTTAGGTTCAGTTATTTCCGGTTTTGATAATTTATGGTTAAACGTTTGTATAACTTTAATCTTTTTAGTTCAGTGATAATTCGATTTTATTCGATTTGATTTTTATATAAGTTAACAGTTTGTCAAATCATAATTAAAAAAGCTACAGATAAAATTTTTGAATCGAAACGAATCGAACTTTATAAAATTTCCAAAAAACAAAAAATTTCTTAATAAAATCTGAATTTCTTTACCAAAAACCAAAACTAAACCGAATAATGCTCCTTTATAAATTATTTTCAAATATATTTACGAATTATCCGGGAATCCAATCTTTATACATGGATATGGACACATTCCAACCGTAGACAACTATAGTTTTTTTTTTTCAGTTTTCATACAAAATTCCATATGAAGTTACTAAATTTTTCATTTTTTTAAAAAAATTCTTTATTATGTTTATATTTGGTTCGAATTAGAATTTCTCAATTTTCTAAATTTTATAAATATATATATATATATATATATATTCAAATTTATATAGAATATGTTTAAACAGATTGGGATGGATAAGTTCCTCTGTTTGTTTATCTTTTAATGTCTGATTCATCAAGATAAGAGAGCAAAGAGATACCAGAAAGAGAAATAATACGATTTCTGTGATTAAAGATTCACTACACCTAACTCTAATGATACATCTAACATTACATTATATTCTTTTTTTTCTTAATTATATCATAAGATAACTCGGTTATTATGATAATAAAAAAAGTAATTATAAAGTATGTTTTTAATGAGATAGAGAGTATTAGTTACGTAACTTACGGATCATGTGTATATTTTGAACCGCTAAAAATTCCGATTTGAATCTCGAAATACCCCTTAATGAAATGAACAAAGGATCTATCAATTTATAAATTAATAGTATATTTTAAATATAATTTCATGAATTCTTATATGTTTTTTTTTTATTGTTTCCCGTAAAAGGGAAAAAAAAATCTTATAAACAATCTGTGCATTTTGTGCACTAAAATCTAACAGTTTACTTTGTCCCTCTAAACTTATTTTCCAACAAGTTGTATATATATCACTTAATTGAACAAATTCGATAACACTCATTTGAAAATTAAAAATGCACCAAGATCTCCAAATATATTTTTTTTTAATATCTATTTAGACAAATGACAAGGTAATTTTGAACCAATATACATCATACCATCAACTGCTCACAAGTTACAACATGGATTTATCATTGCCAAATTCCAGAGGTTGCTAAATAAATTTGGATGTTTTTATATTCGTTTTCTCATTTTTTTTTGCCTTAGTTTATTAACTGAATTTTTGTATGGAAACTTAGAGTTCAAGCTCTGTGACATTCATAAAAATTATTACGATTTATACCAATAGACACAAACATACGACTATTTATTTTTTGAATGTTTAGCAAAATCATACCTTATTATACCTCTTAGGAGTGGACGAACGGTTCGATTCAGTTTATTTAGTTACGGTTAATTCGAGTTCGGTTATTTTGGATTTTGAAAATTTGTAATCAAACCTTTATTTAATTTTCATCGGTTCGATTACAGTTCCGTTCGATCTAATTACGTCTAATTAAATTGTAACTAAATAATCTCTAAATAAAATTTTGATTCGGTTCAGTGCAGTTAAAATAGTAAATGAAACAAACTTTTGAAATATTGTTTAATTTTTTTTTAAAGACATCACTTTGTGATATACCGTATTTATAAAAAATTTTTATTATACTAATTTCTCTAGTTATATATACCATATATTATATGGTGGGTGACACATGAGTAAAAAACAATTATATTCAGTTTATTTAGTCATGGTTAATTCAAATTCGATTTCTTCAATTTACAGTTAATTCAGATTCACTTATTTTAGAATATAAAAATTCATAACCAAACAAACAGTTAGTTAATTTTAATCCATTCAATACGGTTTGAATATAAATAAATTGGTCGGACCCTAATATCTCTAATTAAATATCTTACTTCCCAACGAGTTATGTTGCAATTTGCATAGTCATCTACATCCATCTCTGAATTCGAAATGACAATGATGGTATCATATCTAATCTAAAATATGTATATATATATATATATATGTACCTATGCTGAGGTATACAAGTACAAATCTAAACCTTTTCTTGTCACGAATAGGCTTTTGAATATTGTAGGGTGTCACGCCACATAATCACTAGGGGTTCAAACTTCTACAAAAGATTAAATAGTCAGTAGGATTTGTTATTACAAAACATTCAACACTAAACCCTAATTAAACCTAAAACCGTTTTATTTATTTCTAAAAGTCCAATTTTGACAATTTCTACTCATTGCCTTTATGACTTAAAACACGTTGATAGAGAAAAACAATGAAGGGAACTTTTCATATTTCTACGGGCAATCCTGAAAAGCCGAATTTTTTTAAAAGAAACCTATCAATTTTTTTTTAATAAAAACCGAAGCCGAACTGAACCGGACATAATATAAAAACCGATTCGTACCTGTTTTTATAAAAACAAAAAAGTCGAACCGATGCATTTTTGTCTCAAACCCGAACGGATTTCCAGAAGGACCCCAGCTAGTTACAGCCGGCGAACACGCTTCTTGTTTTTTCTTAGTTTATTTTTGTAACAAGAGCTTGGCGTGAATAATTAACTAACGATTATTGAATCTTAGAGAATAGTTTATATAAAAATTAATCTAACAAAATAAATATTTCCAAAACGAAACTTTTTCTCACACCCACTATCCGACGCTGCAAAGATACTCCACTAAATATAAAAATTGCATTATTTTAAGAGCAAATAGGAACCCTATATGCCTATAGCCATCATGACCAAGACCCCAGCCGCCAATAAGCAAACGAAAAGCTCAAAGAATGGAATAATAATCTCTTTCATTTTGTTAATTTAAATATTAAGGATAATTAATGTAGGCCCGACGAAATGCTCCTTTATAAATTATTTTCAAATATATTTACGAATTATCCGGGAATCCAATCTTTATACATGGATATGGACACATTCCAACCGTAGACAACTATAGTTTTTTTTTTTCAGTTTTCATACAAAATTCCATATGAAGTTACTAAATTTTTCATTTTTTTAAAAAAATTCTTTATTATGTTTATATTTGGTTCGAATTAGAATTTCTCAATTTTCTAAATTTTATAAATATATATATATATATATATATATTCAAATTTATATAGAATATGTTTAAACAGATTGGGATGGATAAGTTCCTCTGTTTGTTTATCTTTTAATGTCTGATTCATCAAGATAAGAGAGCAAAGAGATACCAGAAAGAGAAATAATACGATTTCTGTGATTAAAGATTCACTACACCTAACTCTAATGATACATCTAACATTACATTATATTCTTTTTTTTCTTAATTATATCATAAGATAACTCGGTTATTATGATAATAAAAAAAGTAATTATAAAGTATGTTTTTAATGAGATAGAGAGTATTAGTTACGTAACTTACGGATCATGTGTATATTTAATTTGAAAATATGTACAAGTACTTGCTCGAGAAGGCGTAAAATTGGAAAGGGCATATGGGTGCTGCTAGACATGGGCCCCACAAAGACAACACTTGCCTTTTCCTTTTTCTTTCCTTTGAACAAAACCTTACCCATCACCTAAAACACCACAATTCTTTTTTTTAATTCTTCTTATTATTGTTATTATTATTACTATTATGTAATTATTGTTGTTGTTGTTATAAAAAGAAAAAGAAATGAGAATGCTAAAATAAAATAATCGCAATGCTTTTTTTTTTTGGTGCAAATTATTAAGTACTCATTGCTCATGTAATTAGTCAATGCCTATATACTTACAAATATGTCTAGTTTAGGTCGGGATAATGTCGATCTCAACCTCCAACTTATGTTACATTTACTAGACATAATAATTATCTCGTTACTTAGGAAAAAAGAGAAGAAGATTATGAAGCTAATAACCTATCGTGCATGGGGAGAGGAAGTAAAATTTCCGTGTGGAAAGTTACCCTTTTTACTTTGAAGTAGGAGGAATAATGGTGGTAAAATTCAACAAAATTTAACTGTTTAAACTAATTGAATTATCCTAAACATAAAAAATATTATTAGAGTGAAATTAAAAAAAAAAAAATCTTAACTATATTCCATTTCCTCAAATTTTAATTATTTAACGTCTGATCTTTTTTTTTTGTAAACCATAAGGAAGAATTTATTAAAATAAAATAAATTAGAGTTTATCACAATTTTACCAATAAAATATTTTAATAGTAAATTCAAATGCGATCAACGAATGTAAATAGTTCTATGTAGCCATCTTTTCCCGATGAATTGAATTGTTCGGTAGTTCATTTTGTAAAATAATAATTTTTTATCATTTTGAAATTTCTTACTGATAAAATTTTGCATCAATTTGTTTTTAGAATAGAACTTCTTGGAATTCATCAGTAAGTATGACATTTTGTTCTAGATTTTTCACTGCATTCACCACTCTTTTAAATAAAATCGCATAAGATGAAATCAAAATCTCACTTTATTAAAAGAAGAAAATTAATATCCTTTTTTAGTTAAAAAAATGAATGTGTCTCAATAAAGTCCGATACATTGAGGCACCAATTTGAAGCTAACAAAGATTATGTTTGTCTTATAAAAGATTTTAATTTCAATAATGGATATATAGTTTAAGTCTTGGAATAAAACAATCAAAATCTACTTTTTACAAGAGAAAAATACAAATTTTCATCTAATTGATGACTACCATTATTACACTTTTTGCATGTGCAAACAACTTAGTAATAAATTTAGTATATACCCTCCTTTAACTTTTCTGCCTTGACAAGGAAAAAAAACCAATAATATAAATATATAAATACGAAAATCCCATAATAAATAGAAAAGAGAAAAGGTGACTACACATAAAATATGCAAAGACACCGACCCAAAGAAAACTTATTTAATGCAGGTGTTATGATTACACCACTAAATAATATAAGGACAAATTAAATTTATTTTCCAATCAAAATTATTTGAGTAGATTCCAAGTGATCTTTTTTACGTTAAATCGGTGATCAATTCCTAATCAAGAAATCGTTATAAATTAACATTCGAATTATAGAAGTCGATTATAGTTAATTTATTTATATCGGTTGCAACTAGAATGGAGAATGTGTAACCATAATTGTAAACGTATACACAAAAAGTTTCATTTGATGTCTTATTCGTTATTCTAGGGTTTTCAGGAATCCTAGTAGATATAGACGGTCCATTATTTCTCGAATTCCCATTTTGCCCATTCGGCCAACCCTTCTAGAATATTAAACTTAGTATTCTACCGTTAATGTTATAAAGCCTACAATAAATACTTTACATCGGTTTCATTTAAACCCGCTTTAATAATCCCTTTAAATCCCATCTCTCCAAACCCTAAAAACTCTCTCTCTCTCTCTCTCTCTCTCTCTCTCTCTCTCTCTCTCTAAGATTACAATGGAAGTGTGTTCAACGGTCGCGACAAAGAAGCTCGCAAGCATGGCGAAGCTAATCCTCTTCACGATTCAGAAGGTCTCCGAGACCTCACGGCACAAGCTCCTCTCGATCTCCACCGTCGATCTCCTGAAACGTGGCAAGATCCTACGCAAGTCTCTGAACGACGCCGTTTCCGTCTCCCACTCCCGCCTCTCCTGCCGTCCCACGCACGACGACGTCCACGCATCCTTCATCTCTCCCGTCCCGATCTTGGAGTACGAGTTCAGCTGTAGTAGCACCCCACCGAGGCGTTCCTACACCCCCGTCTACGTCAGACGTAAGCCTATCAGCAAGCGCCACATGTACCTCAGGTATAACACCCTTCCCAAGGCGAGAGACGTCCGACACGTGGCGGTTGTTGAGGTGGCGAGCAACGGTACTGCGGGGAGCTGCCACGTGGACAGGGACGCGGAGGAGTTTATTCAGAGGTTTTATAGGCAGTTGAGGCTGCAGAAGTGGATGATGGCTCAAGATAATTGAATATATATATATATATATATATATATATCAGTATTAGGATTTGTATCAATTCATATATATATATATATATATATATCGTGATTTCATTAGATTTGGTTAATGCATGTTTGTATTTTATGTGTTTGTGTTCTAATGTCGTGTTTGTTGTCGGATATTTTTAGAGAAATCGTCGGTCCGAACGAGCATGTGTGTATATATAGTGTATATGCTATATTATATATTATAATAAATCAACATTTACATTATCCTGTAAGAAGATTAACTCGTTCTTAAATATAAATAAATGTTTTATGTACATGTTTACCGTTTACCAAAAATAAATAAATAAATGTACATGTTTAAATGCTTTTTGTGAGATGAAATAACAAGTCAAAATCACAACCCAAAAAAAGAATGTTATATGGTATATAAGTTACGGTTTACGATTTTAGTTATTATTTAGAAAAAAAAAAATAGATTAATAGTGGAACATATTTTTGGACAAATGTTTTGAGTATACCGCATAAGAATTCTTAGTTACGATTGTACATGTTTTTTTTTAATAATTTAAACCAACTTAAAATAAAAAAACTAGATTTATAAAAGTGGTAATTATTTGATATCAAATAATAATAAAAAACTAACTAAAAATATTTTAAAAATAGTTAGTATTGCATATAATAAAATAATAGCTTTTTTAGGGTTTTAAATCAAATCGCAATCACCAACCAGTCGTTCTAAATTTTAATCACTACCAACAATAGTTTTTTAATCAATCGCCTTGAAATACCAACAAACGCATCGTAAACCCTGTAATCGCGCGATTGCGATTCGACCGGTCACCACGACCTTAGTCACTACAATGTGAAACATTAACAAGGACGACACATTAACAAGAATCGTTCTATAGATATATAATCATGCACATTAAATTAAGATTATTCATATGCAAACTCTCTATTTTTTTTTTATAAGCCGAAAGTTCACCAGACCTTTGCCCCGACTACATCTCCCAGAGGAGCGGAGAAGACCAGGTGAATGCCCCTCTCCACACTTGGATTTGAACCCAGGATGAAAACATACTTTGTATGTTCTCTCACCACTAAACCACTCAAGTTTGGATCAAACTCTCCATTTAAGATCTAATTTTGAGTATTCCTCCTCCTCCTCATTTTTCTTCTTCATGTTATTATTATTATTATTATTAGTAGTTTTCGTTCCTAAATTTTGTATCTTAATATGATAATATCCCACGTAACTAGGATTCAACATGATGGAACGTTTGTGTCAGTATTTTCCGTTTCAAAATATGCATGAGCGTTATACCCATAAATTACTTCTCCTTGCGAATATGTATGTATAGTATAACTTGGTGATATAACATTTAAATTTTGATAAACTTTTTTTGATATTTTAATTTGGTGATTAAATTTAATCCGCATCAATAAGAAAATCTAAAATTTCAAATCTTAAATATATAATCAAAGCCATCCGTATTTCTATTATTGGTTCACAAAATTCAAACAATTTTGATCACTAATGTAATGATTCAATAATATATATGTATTTTTCTTTCTGTCTATTTTATTAACCAAACAAATGAATGTAAAAGGTTTCTCCCGCAAAGTCCAAACAGAGCATTTTCACCAAAGACTATTTGTTTCCACACCAACCCACCAAGATGGCAACAAAAATATAAATTAAATTAAATTTCAATAAAGATCCTCTGTCACACACTACTTGTATAGAAAAACATGTTTTTATTGAATTCATATTGTTTAATTACTAAATAAATTCCATTTATAACACAGCTATCCATTTACTTACACAAAACCGTTTTTTTAGATGAAGCAAAACAAATCAAACTTAACATAACAAAAAAAAAAAAAGAGTTCATTTGAATTTCATTTCTACCATAAATTGAATCAATCCAAATCTGAAACCTACGGAGCCCAACATGAAATAAACATAATTAATTCAAGATTGAGTGGCTCAACTAGAGGGAAAGGGAAAGGGATGTTGACAAAACTTATTCCCAATCCGAGTTCGAATTTTGGAGATGGACATCCATCTAGAGCTTCTCCGTTCCTCTCCCAATTGGGTCGAAAGCATGAGGAACTTGTAAATTATTAAAAAAAACTAAACAAAACTATATAAACAAGAGCGAGCAAAATTGACATTCTATTTATTCGAAGAGAAATTTTTTGCGTCTACTATATTGATTTCTATTAGAAAACCAAAATATAATGTATAAAAAGCGTGGATAATATAAAGTATTTATCTGAATATTAATAATAAAAATAGGGGTAATTTGTTTAGTGTTATTAATTTTATATGATTTAATTTTAATAAATGAGATTATTAGTTGCACTAGGTGGACTACCTCTTAAATTCAATTTAATCGGTTATTGTTAGTTTAAATTTGATTTAAAATTTATAACCAAATGATTGCTTAATTTTATTTGGTTAGGTTACAGTTCGATTATGTTTAATCAAAATTATATCAAATAATAATCAAATCTAAATTCGATTCGATTAGAATAATAAATAATTTATTAAAGGGAATATATATTTCAAATTATATGGTAAATTTCGGACTTTGAAATTAGTTTATACCTTGTTCCAAATAATCAGATAACCAAAAAAAAAAATATTGCATACGTTAAGTGGCCGTGCCCGAAAGAGAAAGTGTATATGGTGTCTCGCACAATCTCCCTCCATGACCTTACCATTGGGCTTTGCTTTAGGCCCATATGGCCTACTCGTTTTCGTAAACGGGCCTAAGGCCCATATATATGTATGCGTGTGTGTCTCTCTCTCTGCTCGTGTGAAGGTATATCGCATCCTATACATTACGTGGCCGCCTCTTATTGGTCAACGTTTTTTGGTTTTACTTGAGAGGAAACATGGTGCTTATGCTTAATCAAATTTGCTCTTATTAGTCAACGTTATTTTTTGTTTTTATGTTTATTTAAGAGAAATTAAAAATTTTAAAATAAGAACGTATACGTTGAATAGGAACACGGACTATGGTTTTAGAAATTGTTTTATTTTGAAAATAAACATGAAACTGTCAAGAAAGCTTTTTTGGTGGCTAAATCACATTAATATACTCCATGATTGGGGGTTTGTACATTACCGACCAATTTTGTTAAGGAAATTGGTCATTTTCTTTTATTAATATAATTTTTAGTTGAAATTATATATTTTTAAAATTAGGGATAAATGGCAGATTACATAACTAAAAAAATTACATTGAAAATGAAATCGTTTTCTTAATACTTTGGATTTTTTTAATCTAATATAAAGAAGCAATAAAATGCACAAAGCAAAATAGATTGAGAAGTGGAATTCGATGGTCAAATAAAATCACAAAATTAGTAAAATGAATGATCATATTTGCTGATAAATTCACAAACGACCAAGTTCTTTGAAATTCCATGTTTTATAAATGATGTGAATTGCATCGGACGATGACAAAACATGATATATAACAAAAAATAAATCTGTTTTTTATTAAATAAATAACATAAAATTATCATGCATTTGTTATATCCCTCACATGTCAATTTCTCTCTTATGCGATATATATACATATTACATATATACATGATAAATAGAAAATATATACAAAAGGAAAATTAACATAAAAAAGGAAAAAAAAATACTGTGTAAAATCCTTGTTCTTCGTCTCCCTCCACAGATCTCTCCAGAAATCCCCTAATTCATCAGACATGAGTTTCAAGTCTCACAAATCTCGCTCAGTTTGATTCTTCATACGAATCCGATTCCGATTTTGTCTGAACACGCGCATTACCTTTTTTTCCTTACCCGAATCAGTCATCGATTTGTCAGTTGGATGGTTCTCGAAGCTTCTTCGTCAGTGGTTTTCGATCCTTCTATCAACGGCGACCGTCGAAGACCGTACGATGCCTGAGCTCCATAGCAACGAGCACTGAAATCGGTTCCAGAGAAACCCGAACGCTCCGATTCAAACGTCTCGGAGGAGGAATCCCCGGCGGCGGCGGAGGACCGGAAGGATAAGGAGGCGATCGTTTCCGAAGAGTGCGGGAAGGTGATCAGAGGGTTTTCGCCTGTGGTGTGAAGAGCGGCCGTGTGACGCTGTTGGACCTGTTGGTGAAGGTTGAAGGAAGAGAGGAAACAAATTGGGGATTCGAGAGAAGAGGCTGGTGAGTAGAAGATGGATGAATGCGACAGTGGCGGTCAAGGACCTGTGGCTGACGATGAAGGAACCGCAGCTCCACTTCCGGAAAAGGCGAGGCCTTTTTTTTTTTTGGCTGAATTTAGAGTTACTTGTTTGTGAAATTATCTGTTAAAGGATTTAGACAATCTGTAGGAAATGAGAGGAATTTGAAGAAGAAATGAGTTATGTTGTTGGTGTTTCTCTTTTGTTCCGAGGGGTAACATATGAGTACCCCATTAGAGAATTGCATTCTTCTGGACTTTTTTCCTTGTGGTTGATGATATTGATTCAAGGAAAAACAGGTATAAGGGTATTTGGCAATGCTTTTTCTGCTGCTCATAACTCGATTACGGGTTCTGGTGTCTGTATTGCTGCTACAGGTCCAGGTGGGTGGTTCCCCAATGTACAAAATAGACAGGAAGTTAGGGAAAGGAGGTTTTGGACAAGTATATGTTGGTCGAAGACTTGGTGCTACCAACCTAAATGAACGTTCTGGCCCTGGAGCTGTAGAGGTTTGCCGTTGATTGTGGTTGATTTTTACCATTTCTCTATAGATTTCATATCTGTTGGATGTAACATACCTATGTGTAATTTTGTCAGGTGGCTTTGAAGTTCGAGCATAGAAGTAGCAAAGGATGTAACTATGGTCCACCATACGAGTGGCAAGTGTACAAGTGAGTTTTATGTCTTGTATCCTTATGTTTGGGTGAAGGATTTCGGTTTATACCCGGACGATTTTGCTTATGCTTTATCTTTTTTCTGGTTCAGTGCACTTGGTGGCAGTCATGGTGTGCCTCGTGTCCATTATAAAGGTCGACAAGGCGACTATTATATAATGGTATGTATATTGCCAGGATGGTTTGAACAAGGGAGTTTCTTTTTTCTGTTGAGTCATGGAATGGCTTATGGTTTTTTGTATTTGTTTCATGTAGGTTATGGATATGCTAGGGCCTAGCTTATGGGATGTTTGGAATAGTAGCTCACATGCGTAAGCATTCTTCCTGAACAACTTTGTTATGTTTTGAACTGAAGATCTGAATATTCTTTACCATCTGATATATATTTGTCTAATTCATTCCAGGATGTCAACTGAGATGGTTGCATGCATCGCCATAGAGGCTATATCCATATTAGAGAAAATACATTCTAGAGGGTAAGATCCTTATGCCCATACTGCTAATGATCTCCAAGCAAGAATTGGTAATTGAATGGTTGCATTTATCAAATGTGTATGGTCCTATATATGTGCTCCTGTTTCTGCAGATATGTGCATGGTGATGTTAAACCAGAGAACTTTCTGCTTGGGCCTCCTGGAACCCCTGATGAGAAAAAACTTTTCCTCGTGGACCTCGGTTTAGGTAGACTGGAATAATGTAATAGGATCAATCAAGCATGTTTCTCTGACATTGCGTCGATTATCTAATTCCTTTCAACCTCGCAGCTACGAGATGGCGGGATACTGCAACTGGTCTGCATGTTGAATATGACCAGCGCCCTGATGTATTCAGGTAAGTTGGTTTAGGTTACATCATTGTTGATTGATGATAAATTATGGGTCGTCTTTTCAATCTGATGCAACTTTATAATGTGTTGGTTTTTGGATTTCAGGGGAACAGTACGATATGCTAGCGTACATGCTCATCTTGGCAGGACTTGTAGTAGAAGGGATGATCTGGAATCTCTTGCATACACTCTTGTTTTCCTTCTTCGGGGCCGGCTTCCATGGCAAGGTTATCAGGTTGGGGGCTCTGAAGTTTGAGATGCTGTTTCGTGTCTGTTTTTCTTGCCGATCATTAACCAACTTATTTTTGTTTAGGGAGACAACAAAGGTTTTCTTGTCTGCAAGAAGAAGATGGCTACCTCTCCGGAAACTCTTTGTTGCTTCTGCCCTCAACCTTTTCGTCAATTTGTTGAGTATGTAGTCAATTTGAAGTTTGACGAGGAGCCTGACTATGCTAAGTATATTTCTCTTTTTGATGGAATAGTCGGTCCAAACCCAGACATTAGACCGATAAATACTGATGGAGCTCAGAAGGTACTTTTGCGATCTCCTTGGTGACACATTGCAGGTTTTCTTATGATTTGCCCAACCTGTGTTGTCTAACGTTGTCTTTCTCTTTCCCGTATAGCTCATACATCAAGTGGGTCAAAAGAGGGGGCGATTGACAATGGAGGAGGAGGATGACGAACAACCAAAGAAGAAGGTCCGATTGGGGATGCCAGCAACACAATGGATCAGTATTTATAATGCTCGCAGACCAATGAAGCAAAGGTACCATTTAATATGTTGCTTGATAATTCTCGGTTCTTATGCGGATATACCAAGAGCTAACGCATTTTTTGCTCGTCCTGTAGATATCATTATAATGTGACTGATATGAGGCTAGCACAGCATATCGACAAAGGAAATGAAGATGGATTATTTATCAGCAGTGTGGCTTCTTGCTCGAATCTTTGGGCTTTAATCATGGATGCAGGAACCGGTTATACTGCACAGGTTTATCAGTTATCACCGTGCTTTCTCCACAAGGTAGATTGTCTTCAATTTTTACTCGTGCAATCTTCACAAAAATTAAAATTGATGTTGTTCACATGTAAATATGCCTGCAAGGTTTCTGTCATTTTACATTGTAGTATGTTCTAACTTTTGCTTTTAGCATTTTGTGGTCTGCCTCATGTTTCTGGCTTTGTTTTGTAGGAATGGATTATGGAAAACTGGGAGAAGAATTACTACATTACAGCAATAGCAGGAGCAAATAATGGGAGCTCATTGGTTGTTATGTCGAAGGGTAACATTCATATTCTATTTTTAGATGAAGTTGTAAGAGTTTTTTTCCATTTTATTTATGTTTGGCTGCTTTTATCCTTTTTATTCAGGGACCCAATATTTACAGCAGTCCTACAAAGTCAGTGAATCATTTCCCTTTAAGTGGATAAATAAAAAATGGCGAGAAGGCTTTTATGTTACTTCAATGGCGACTGCTGGAAGTAGATGGGCAATTGTAATGTCTCGTGGTGCTGGTTTTTCTGACCAGGTTCCATGAAGTTCTGTTTTTTTGGGTTCTTTCTGTTGAAGTATGCCTCTCCACTTCCCAATTGAGATTCATCGCAGTATTATGGATTTCCTTTTTCGGGTGCAGGTCGTAGAGTTAGATTTTCTATACCCAAGTGAAGGTGTACATCGGAGATGGGATAATGGTTACCGAATTACATCGATAGCTGCAACTAGCGATCAGGCTGCCCTTGTTCTCAGTGTGCCAAGACGAAAGCCTGCAGATGAAACACAAGAAACTCTTAGAACCTCTGCTTTCCCTAGCACTCATGTCAAGGTTTGCTCAAGGATTTTCTTATTTATCTCTTTCTCTTTCAGTTGAATAGGTTTTCCTCAACTTCCAGAGGTGTAAGTCCTCTTCCTTCTTTCTTCTGCAGGAAAAATGGGGGAAGAATCTTTACATTGCGTGTATTTGCTACGGTCGAACTGTCTCATGAAGTTCTAAACATTTTTTTTGTTATGATGCCACTCGTTTTAGCTTCGCTAATGCAATCAACGAGAAGGTCAGCTGTTTTCTTCGATGATGCTATGGCGATAGCACCATCTTTAGCCAGGCTGAATGAACGTGATCTTTGAGTATCAATGTACGCAAATATTCTACGTAACTGCAGCTCTAATGTAGTAGTACTGACTTTGAAGATTGCCCTGGTTTTAGAACTCGGGTGATTTGTTTTAAGAACCAAAACTTTTGATATCTAATGTCAAAAAAATATTTTCTCCTTATATTATTTATATAACTAGTTCCTTTTGAGAGATGTTTATCTGGTTTGAGGAGTGGGGGAACCGCGTTCTCACTGTTTACGCCAGTGAGGAAGATGGAACTCTTTGCTGCAGTGGGAATCGGATGTCCCAGTTACACTGTCTGGTATTTACTTTACCCACAATTGCATTTAATGATTAACTGGTCCATGTTTTTTAAAATCTAATCTCATAGAAACGAGAGACTTCCCTATTCTTACAGCATTTTGGCATAGAGGCTTTTAGGGTTTCCCGTGAAGTATATTTGATGTGACGGTTTGGTGAATCTTTGCTTGGAGGACTCTGATCCAAGGTAGATGGGCTCGGATATCTGGCATTTGCGGTGAGCTGCAAAAAAGCATGTGATGGCGCTGAACTTATGTCACTGAATCCATATTGCAACGGGGAAGATTTCATGGATTTGGTTAAGTTAAAAAAAAGGTACTGAGAACCATTTGCATTTTGTTGAAATGTGATGCTGCCTAGTGCCTACTGTGAGCTTTTCCGTATTTATCTGCCATATTTTCCGTATTTTACCTCGACCCTCTTGTTGGAAATAGCTCAATTCGGTATGGATGGCCATGGATAGAATAGCTATTTATCGTCCAAATCGTTGTAACGTTTTGCTTGCTCGAAGCTCGAAGTTACAAGTGCAGAGCTTCTGAATGGTGGTTTCCACCAATTCTGATTTTTCTCCCACTCTTTGGCCAAATCACTGATCTCATCTTACATGCATTTTCTTTGGCAGGCCAAAACCAGCAGATTATCGGAAACGCTTGCTCTCTCCTATGAAGGCTGATGAGTATGAATCTTTACTCCCCGTCCTCATGGAAGCTGGATTCTTGGAACTTCATAAGAGCAGAGGTTGTCTTTTCTTTCTTTCTTTCAGGTAAAAGATTATTAATTCATCATTTTTCCCGGGTTTTATCTATTTTTATACGATGATCTCTTCCTTTCTCGTAAGCTTCACGCACGATTTTGCATTGGGAATTCATATGGCCGTTAAGGGGAAAGAAGATAACAATCCATAGCCAGGGACCGATGCTAATACTAATGGGAGTGGTTTCTGTGTTATAGATTTGGTCCTTTTCAGACAAGAGTCTTCAAGAACTCTGAAGACGTTTATAAAACATCGAAACACTTTGGGGTTTTTTTTCCCCCAGTTTCTTTACTCTCATGGTTTCATCCTTCTCCTTGTTTTATTTATACGTTGACTAAATAAATATAAAAGGTACATAGATATAAAATTCATCAAATGGTTTCTACTTATGAATCATCCGATTGTTGGTAAAAATCCTATCTGGATTTTTTTTACCTTCAAATTTTGGTTTAATTTGTAGATTGTTTCAATTTAATCACCATATGTTTGATTTACTTCCGGTGAAGTCTTTGCAAATGTTCTTTCGATCCCTCACCCTTTGCTGCCAGACGTGCTATTTATCGTAAAAGCGAATAGGTAAATATTTCAAAATAATATTTTTAACATAAATTATCGAATTTATCTCGAAATAACAAGTTTTTTAATGTTATCTTTTATTTAATCAAATATCAACTAAATTTGTGCATGAATACATATGTCAGTAGACAGTAGGTCATATTTGTATTGGTTAGTATGGTAAAATCTGCAAAAAATACTTTTTAAAAAGTTAGCACTCTTTTCATGATTATTAGACAAAATTATATTTAAACTAAATTTAAATTTAGAATTTCGAACCAAATATAGTGATATAAAATTTTTAAATCACAACAAAAAATATTTCACTAAAATTATATATATTATATACTATTTTATTCATTTTAATTATTTTTTTCACCTGTAAAAGGATTTAATTGATATGCATCAAAGACCAGTTCAGAGAAATAAACCGGATTAAACCGGATATGGAGGACCTTGCTATCCCGGTTTACCTCGGGTCTCCAATTCGCCCTCTCCTCCGGATAAAAAAAAGGGATGATATGGGTTTAACAAAACAAAGCCGAAGTCGGAGAAGAAGAATGGGGCGAGCACTTCTCTCTCATTTCCTCGACCTCTCTCAAGCCTCTTCTCGTCTCTCTTCCTCTCTGTACTCTCTCCCTCTCTGATTCATCATGTCCTGATACATTGCAGGTTTTGCAGCGATTTCGAATTGATGTTCTTTGTCTTCTTCTCGTGTTTTTTGCTATTCGGTTTCTGAATTCAGCTCCTCGAGTGTCGGTTACAGAAGTCGGGTTTTCAGGAAAACAGGGCTTATCTGCGGCGGCTATGCTCCGCCTGGACTTGGCGGCCGTGGTGGTTTCCGGTGCTGTTACTCCGCCGCGTCGGAGACTCCACCTCCTCCTCCTTCCGAAAGGTAACTTCGTCGTGCTTCGTGGTTCACCCGTTGAACAAAAAATTTAGTTGATTTTAGTTGTCTGGTTAGTTTTTCGATCAACGGCCCTTGCATTCTGTGTAGAAAGTTTCCCCATGCCCGGGTTGGTTCTGATTTTTTTTTTCAGTGTTTTTGTCTGATGGAAGTGATAGAATGTCAAATCTGGAACACAACTTTTTGGAAAGATTGAGCCTTTGAATTCATAGAATTCACATTTTCTACTTTGGATTTGTTTCTGTATGAATCCGATACAAACACAACAGAATCTGAGGTTTTCTCCCCATGTTACATTAGCTAATGACATTTTTTCCCTCTTGTGTCAGGAAGCGAGTGGTGTCTGGAGTCCAGCCTACAGGATCAATTCACCTAGGAAACTATCTTGGCGCAATTAAAAACTGGATCGCTCTTCAGGTTCTTTCTGTTTTCATTCGCTGTGATGTCCAAATGTACTTTTGGTATATACCAGCAATATAATCTGTTTATATATCTGTCTATCTCCGTGGATTTGTCGTGACGTGGTTCAGTAATATTCTTCCACACCCATCGCGAGTATGTGCTGCTTTTCACCCTCTCGAGTTCTATTTCTTAGGGAGAGTGTTGTCAATCTATAAGTAAGAGAAGTTCTCAAATTCATCAATTAGATGGCTGGTGGTTAGTCATATGCAAAGGATATCATAAAGATTCAGCATGTGATAGTGATATATTTTCTATTCGCTACATATTTATATTCTTCTGCTCTGGTAGTCATTCCAATGTTTATATGTTTGCAGGATACATATGAAACTCTGTTTTTTATTGTAGACCTACATGCGGTACGTTGTTCTGGGTATATATTCTGTTAAAATCAGTTTGAATAAATTTCCATTGTTTCATTTTCAATTCTTTTTACTCCTTTTCTTCCTGACCTTTGCTGTAGATAACACTGCCATATGACACAAAGCAACTGGAGCGAGCCACAAGGGATACAGCTGCACTCTATCTAGCATGTGGTGTGGACATCACTAAAGTTCGTATCTTTATTTTCTCTTGTATAGTGGCCATCTCACATTTTCAATCTGCAATGTCCAACTAAAGAATTCTCTATAGGCTTCAGTGTTTGTACAATCTCATGTTCGTGCCCATGTGGAGTTAATGTGGCTTCTGAGCTCTGCCACACCTATTGGTTGGCTGAACAAAATGATTCAATTCAAAGAGAAGTCTCGAAAAGTGGTGCGTCTATGTTTATAGCTTCATTTCTTTGCATTTCGTCTGTCTCTCCTTTTCTCATTATTCTATATGAATCAATTAAAATTAGGCATTTCTGTTTATCAAAAAGTATATGTATAACATGCACTGAGTATCAATAGAAAGTCAGAAGTTCTTAAAGGCTTGTGATTTCTATGCTGGGTCCTACTGCCTTTTGTGTTGCTGCCTTTGTTGCAAGCTTGGAAATATATTTTCTGGCCCTGTCCGATTTCTAAATGGATAGTAACACCATGCTCTGTTGTCTTGTCTGGTGCAGTCTTCAATTTCAGGACTCTAATTACCAAGTTCTGTCTAATTATTCATGTTGCAGGGGGATGAAAATGTTAGTGCGGCTTTATTGACTTATCCTGTTCTCATGGCTGGTGATATCCTCTTGTATCAGGTAATGCTTCAAATACTAAGCTCTAATTTAAATATATTCTATTATGAAAAAAGCTAATGACTGCAACACCAAACCAGTAACATAAGACGTTTATTAAGGGCATGTCAAAATTCATTTTGTGTTACCAACTTTGACATATTATCTGCATTTTGTCCCTGTCCAGTTGGATGTTACATCTGTGTATTGCTTGTAACATCAATATTTTGCTGAAAATGCATAATTCTTATACTCTGCAGCATGCCTCTGCAGTCTGACTTTGTCCCTGTTGGTGAGGATCAGAAGCAGCACCTAGAATTAACACGTGACCTTGCAGAGCGTATCAATTCTTTATATGGTGGAAGGAAGTGGAAGAAACTTGGAGGGTATGGAAATGTTCTTCTTTGTGCACTTAAATTGAATATACACCTTCAACAGAGTCATCATGTTCTACAATTTTTGCTTCACTTATGTTTCCTTTTCTTCATTTAGTATCACCTCTTGTGCATAACATTTGGGATTTGTTTTTCTTTTCCAGGCGAGGTGGTTCTATCTTTAAGGTGAGAATTTCCTGATGCTCGTTGGTTCTGATGGTGTGGCCTTGCAGGTTTCATACTGGATGGTGAATCTTTTTCTAATTTTTTCTATATCTAGGTACCAGAACCCCTCATACCACCAGCTGGAGCCCGTGTTATGTCGCTAACCGATGGTCTTTCCAAGGTTTCCAGATTTTTTTAATCTCAGTAACTAAGTTTTTATTGCCATGCATTCATAAGTTGTTAATCCTGATAATGTTATGACTTATGATCACATGATGTGACATAAACTAAACCAATGAATTGATTAATTTTATATTGCCGCTTAGGGTTCACAATAAACCGTATATGTAGATATTGATTAAGTTTTATCCTTCCACATTCGGTGTGATGTTTTGTTTCTTTTGGATTCCCAGTTAACCTTTAGGGATTTCCGAACTGAAAATTACACCCTGGTCGAAGTGGATCAGTCATTTACTTGAGAAAATTCTGTTCTGTGTCAGTTTTACATCATTTTCTTTATGTGATCTTGTCATTGAGACGAGTTTCTTGCTCCTTGCTGAGTTTTTGCTGGCATGCAATCTTCCAGATGTCCAAGTCTGCACCTTCTGATCAGTCCCGGATCAATCTTCTAGACTCAAAAGATGTAAGTTGATGAATGGTTCTGATGTTCATAATGTATATTTCACGCAATGTACTCATTATAAGCATGAATCTGATACATTTATATCACATTTCATTCCAAAGCTGTGACACCCAGTGTCCATATATCCTGATTCAACTTCTGCAGAATCTGCAATTGTCAGCAATTTTTACGTACTAATGTGGTTTGCATTTTTCCTTCTGATTATTGGTAGTTGATCGCTAACAAGATGAAACGGTGCAAGACGGACTCATTTCCTGGGTGAGTCCTACTTCCATCTATAACGTTATTATAGTTAGTTTCATTCTTGAAAGTAGAATAAAGTAGCTACAGTTTATCTATGTTGCTACTTTTAGTTAACTACAGTTGGTTTAGCCTCTTTGTATATAGATGGGAATTGTGGAATGAATTCTGAGTTCACGCTAGTTTTTGGGTAACCTCTGTTTGGGAATGGGAGCAGCTCCATTAACCAAATCCATACGTATTTTCTGGCATTCTTAGTCTATGTTCATATCCAGAAATCTGAAGCATTTTTCCCACATTTTCTCTGTCAACAGTCTTGAATTTGACAACCCCGAAAGACCCGAGTGCAACAATCTTCTCTCTGTATATCAGCTTGTTTCCGGCAAGACGAAAGAGGTATGACAAACTATGCACCAAAAGTCCGCATCTCTTGTGATAGGTGTATAGACTCTACGTCCCCCTTGTCCGTGGTGATGTGTGATATAACATTTGGACAGTGAGGATTTGTGGATTTTTGGTGAAATTCTTTTTGTTTTTCTTGGAGGGGGTTTCAGGAAGTGGCCCAGGAATG